AAAAAATAGAGTCATAAAGGTGTGTTTGTAGTAACTTTTTAAAAGTATTTATAAGAATTATTTCTCATAAATATATTTTTTTAAATAGTATTTAAAATCGCTCCATCACTACCTCTACCACCACCGCCGAGACTACCACTACCACCACCACCACCGTCGCCACCACCGCTACCACTACTGCCACAGCCACCATCATTATCATCACCACTGCCACCACTACCACAGCCGCCACCACCACCACCGCAGCCCCCGCCACCACAGTCATTACCACCCATCACAACCATCACCGTCTTCTTCCACCACTACTGCTGCCCACCACCTCTTACCTTCACTATGACTGATACTTAAATTTATTTATCTCTCATCTATGTTTGTGATTTGATTTTGGATATGAATACAAATATGTTTATTGTTTATAATTTTTTATTACTCTGTGCCTTTAGACACAAGCAATAGCTAGTATAAAATAAAGTAGTTAAATTGTTTGTCTTGAGCTTTTCACGGCTCTGATCATTTTGATCCAATGGTCTTATTTGAACTTGCATTCATTTTACGATTCTAAGACTCCTATCTCTTATATTACACACACACACACACTCTCTCTCTCTTTCTCTCATACTATTATCTTTTTTTTTCTTGTGTTATTTTTGTTATTATTTACTCCATAAAAATAAAAGTACATGTTATACAATTATTTATTCGATGAAACTAATTCAAAGTTTTTATATATCTGACAACATGTACTGTGCCACTTCCTTCTTAATTTGTAAATAACGCTTAATGTAAATAAAAAATAACACATTGATTATAAACACCAAATAATATTTAACACAAATGCATCTTAGATTATAAATTAATATATAATTTTATCAAAAATTGACATTTAATTTTGTCCAATTTATATTCAACTTTACTAAATTAATATCAAATTAATTTTTATTGTTATCAAATTAATATTGAAATTCATTGAATCAATTTTTTGGGTACAAAATCCAATTTTATTAATCTTTTAATATTTTTTTGGTACTAAATTTGGAGAAGGATGATTGTAAAAATAATAAAGTAATTTGAGATGAAATTATCAATTTTCGTTAGCAATATTTACGGAAGGGAGACATAATGAATCTCCATGTAATTACCCTATTTCTAAATTAAATATTATTTTATATTAAAAACATGAATTCTTGTATTCCTAATAAAAGTTGTTATTGATTAGAAGGGTTTGTTGATAACCAAAAAAGAAATGTGAGTAAGTTTGTTTTTGTGTATATTTATATGTGGAGGATTGGACACTTGGTGATTAAATTTATAATTATATTATATCATTTGGGGGTTGAATGGTGATAGTGGTGATAAATTCATTAGTTTTATAAATGAGTAAGATTTGGGTTGATTTTATTTATCGCTTAAAAATTGTGAATTTAAAATGTTCTGTTAGTTTTTTTTTTTTTTTGGCTTGAGGCATTCATTTCATGGGGATAGGTGGATTGGAAATATGATGGTTGAGTTTATAATTAAATTATGCTATTAGATTGAGTGGTAGTAAATGTGATAAACTCGTGAGTCTTATAAATGATTAAGTTTTTTTTATTTTTTTTGTTACTGAAAGATTGTAAATTTCAATAGGTTATGTTAGTATTTATTTTTTTTTCAAAGGCATTTGTATATATTATGTTATTTTGGATAGTTTTTATATATTTTTATGGCAATTCCATTAATATGGAGGATATGGTAAATATATTTCGAGTCATTTTGAAAGAAGAATTTGTATAAATATTTTTAGGTCATTCCTTTTGAATTTGGACAATGGTTTAAAGATTTTTTTATTTGTTGTATAGTGCCTTCAGACATGAGTAATATAGTCCTAACCGATATATGGATATAAATAGATATGAGAGAAAAAAAAATTTAATGTTAGTTAAACTCCTAAAATTTAAGAGTTTTTTAATTTTTAGTTTTACTTCACTTCTAAATGGAATGGATAGTCTAATAAAATTTAAAAAAACGGATTTTATAACAAATAAGTTTCCTTGGCAGACTTAAGTCCATATAGGGAGATCGGCCTCCAAATTTCCCATTTTTCAATACATTTAAGGACCAAAATTCAGTAAATTTTTTTTTTTTGGCTAATTTTAATTTGCACCATTAATGTTATGAATTGATAGTAATGTGGACCTGACTCAGACTATAGTTTAAGTTTTTGCCAAAAATTAAAGTGCATGAGTTACGAGTACATCGAGCATGGGTTTATGTATAAATTCACAGGCTGTTGACATCTCATGTAAGTTGCATATGATATCGTTAATCTTTATCTGATTATTAAAATCATATTTTCGATACATAAAAACAATGTCAAATTGATCGTGTACATAGTTTTGCAATGATGGACATATTTCATCATCATGCCAGAAATACTTGTATTTCACGCGCTTAAATTTATGAGGGAAAATTTAACGACAGTGTAGATTAGGTCTATATTGCTACTAATACATAACATTGATAGTGTAAATTAAGATTTTTAATGTTCGAGGGTACGAATTGAGAATAAAAACATCTTTTTACAAGAATGTGAGCATAGCAGCTCTTACTCGCCAGAAAAACCCTCAAGTGGAGCCTAGACAAACAAACTCGAAAGCGTTCCCCAAATACTACATGAGTTGTAGTCGAACTTTAGCCCCCACCAGGTCATTAGAAGTAAATCAATAGTCTACTCTTTATGAATCAAATCTGAGACAGAGCCTTTATAGGTCTCGAATTAGACCCTTGACGGAGAGTTAAGTGCTACTAGACCACACAACTTCGTAAAATTTTTGTAAAGTTGTATATTTATGTGTGCTATAATTTTTTCTATTTTCTATTTTTATTTTTCCATTGGCCAGTAATTCTAACAATTTTTCTCTTTTTCGATGTGCGAAACTTTTCGATTGTTTTTTATTAACTTAATTTTTTATATACATCGATATGTCTTACTAGTTCATGAAAAGACGATGAATGAGAGCAGTTAAATGCTTACCAAGAGTATAACTACTATATTATTATGATTAGGAGTTTAGAATTATAGAATCAAATTAATCTATGATCGCGGGGTTATTTCTGTATAGATGGATTGTTGTTAATATTCAATAGTTCTCTTTAATTGATTGATTCTCGGCCTCCTTTTTTTTATTCAAATTGACGGACTTTACAAAAGGGGAGAACAAGATAAAAAGGAAATGGAAAAAGAAGCAAAAAAAGAGGAAAGGAAAAATTAGCAATCATGGGGTGAATAAAAAGAAAGTAGAAAGAAAAGGGGGAAGGAAAAGAAGAATTGGAAAAAGCAAGAAAGAAAGAATGAAAGAAGTCAGACAACTACAGAAGATGTAGTTTAAATTATGGTAAATTACACTTTACTCTTGAACTATTACCTTTATTTTACTTTATACCATTAATTATAAAATTTCTTATAGTGTATCTTAAAGTATCAATTTTATTTCATATCACTCTAATAAATAATTATTGTCAACTTTTTGACGGTAAATGCACATATAAGTGGCCTGTACTACCAATAAGAAATTGCTTATTGTACATGTATATGTTAAAAATCAAGAAAAATATTCATCGATGATCTTGTCCTTCTTAAGTTCCAAAGTTTCTTCCTCTGACCGACCTTCTTTTTCTTCCTAACAATCATTTAGTTGCAAAAGAGGTAAAATAAAGTGGTATTATGCACTTAGTACCACTTTATTTTGAAGCAGAAGACTTTTAGAGTCTCCCTCCCTCCTTTAACAGATTTTCAAGTTTATCTTCATCTATTGGAGTGATATGAGACAAAATTAATACTTTAAGGTCAAGGATCAAAATTTCTTTCAAAACGTCTGAAAGGTTTCCATTTTCAAGAAAATTGAAACAAATCAGTGATAAAATTGAAATTCTAATATTTTGAGGTATTTTGTAATGTTTTAATACATTTGAACAATTGTTTTGGGATGTTTCAAGATACTTTAATAAATTTTAACCAATGTTTTGAAAAAATATTTCTTAAATTTTTTATTTTTTTCATTATATTTTCGAAATGAAACGAAACGTTTTAAAAATACGTCGAAACATTTTCGTTTTCTAGGTGACCGAAACAATGCACCGAAAATAAATTTTGATCCTTGTTTAAGGTGCAATGTGAAAAATTTTATAGTTGAGAGGACAAGTGAAATAAAAATAATAGTTTAGGGTATAAAGTATAATTTAATCTTTAAATTATTGAAACATTTTAGACGTATGCCTGCAATTTCTCTAAATTTAGGGATTCTTGTTAGGTTCATACATTGGCATCAAGCTACATCACCAAAACATTTTTCTTTTAATTTTTGTTGATGATATGTCACTTATTACGAATTAAAAAAAAAATCTATTGACCCAACCAAAACAAAAGTTATAATTGAAATGAAACCACCAATTAACCTTAGCGGAAACTCAAATGATTACGAGGGACGCTTAACTTACATCTGATGATTTATCTTAAATTTATTAACGTGTCAACCATTTTCATGCCTAATGAAGAAACTATTTTGACGGTATTGGTAATCCAAAAGTATCATGGGTCCATATGATTTACGGGAAAAAAATGGGCCCGTATAAAATTATAATAACATAAATTTACCCTTAAGAGATAAATCGATATTCTATTTAATCGCTTAGAAATTTTTTTACTTAATCTCTTAAGAAATCAAACCTTGCCTTTCACAATGAGTGATGCCTTGATTTCTTCGCTAGTAAAATCTTGAGATAATCAAGACTGACCATTTGAATTACGCCGTTTTAATTCCACAATCTTCATACTAGTTTTCTATTTAAACAGACAAGGCCAAAACACCTAACCATTTTCTCTCCAGCATTCAACAAGTTGGGATCCTCTGCAGCACAACATGCCTGTTGCTTCGTTTTGTGAGTAAAAGAACATCGTTTTAAGGAACAACATATTTTCAAATAACAGAAAAAACATTACTTATGTTCTACCACCTTATGTTAATAAGGAGCACAGTTCGTTCGTGGGAGTCTCCCCTTCTGGATGGAAGGTATAGCCTTAATCCTCGGTCCCGCTGTGATAAAGTAAAGAATGTGTTGTGGGAAAGTAAATAATGTATTTCCCAAGTCCAGAATCCGCCCACTATTTCCAGAACAACAGTTTACCACTTTCCTCCCACCAAAGAAACTTCATTACATTAAAGCCGAACAATATTCCCAAACATGTAGGAGAAAGGCATAGTAAATGTATTACCCTCCCCCTTATCTTACAAATATATGGGTTGACCACAAGAAAATTACATTAATTACCTGCAGCCCCATCAGTCTTTTCCTTCAAAATAAACTAAAAATACAAGACATTGCCAGTTTTTTCATAAATCATTTCTTACAGAAATTATGTTATTCTAAAATTGATTTTTCAAACATGTTTCTTTTTTTTTTTTTTTTTGAATAGACAATAGTTAATAAAGAGAGAGAGGCTCTTGGGAGTGCAAGTATCGAGCCTGGATTTACCTGAAAGAACACAAGGCAGGTAGGTACTCTAATTTTGAACACCAGCTACCAGCTTTGCTCTCAATTCCTTCCTTAAGATTTTGCCCGAGGGTGCTTTTGGAATTGCATCCACGAAGAAAACCCTGTTTATTCTCTTGTAAAACACTACCTGAAGAGACAATCACATAATCTCATATTTAGTTTGGGGTACTCTGAATCTTAAGATGCTAAGCATAGAACAAAACTCCAAAGAAGCTGAAGTGATAACATAAATGAGTTGTACATTCAGATGTTCTAAATTTAAATTTTGACATTTTTTTGGGACCAAGAACGAGGGCAAGCCTTTGCGGCTTTATTTGTAGTACTTATTCATATTCAAGGATGGCATGTCATACTAAGAAGCCCCATTAAAACAAGAAGAACCTCCTAATGCAGACAATTTCATTAAAACAGAGAATTGATTCTAGGTTTATCTAATCTTTTAGCCGCCAAGAGGTCAATATATATTAGAATCTGTTATTCTTTTGAAGGAGATATCAGACCATTCTTGCAAACTATCATTTACATTTACATTAGCCTAAGTCAATGCCAACCAACAAAACTCTTTAAAGATCATTTTATAGTTTGGGCCTTGTTAATTGAATGTGCTAACTAGGTTTGATCTGTATCCAATTACGATCCGAATCCTATTAGCAATATATGAATAGATACTTTTAAGAGTAAATTACAAATATAATCCTCAACTTATGAATTTTGTGTTAATTAAGCCCCTAAACTTTTTTTGTGTCAATTAAACCCCTAAATTCTCGAATTGTGTCAATTGAATCCTTCTGTCCGACACTGTTAAATTTTCTAGCAAAAAGTGACGAAACGTGCCACTTATGTGACACGAATGGTTGAATTAAACTATACATATAACCTTCAAACTATACGGACCTAACTTTTTCTATTATTTGTGGAGTTTATGTCTTCATCATATTCAACTCACTACTTTATCTTTACCCTTACATTTTTACTACTCCATTCTGAAATTAGGGCTCCTTACATCAAAACATAGTGGGCCAAAATCAGTTACCTGTTTGGAGATGAACTGCTTGATCGCATCCTCAGTGACATCAGAGCCGCTTGATCTCACAACAAAGGCAACTGGAACCTCTCCTGCTAATTCATCTTTCATTCTGAAAGTGAAAACACAAAAACATTTGATGCTAAGAGTTATTAACAAATTTACCCATCAACACAAACTTCTTTCTTTTACAAATGGATGTAAAAGTAGCTTGTTGAAAATAGGAAGTTATATGACATTCCACGGTGATCTATATTAATCTACTAATAAGTCATTGCATATATAGTTGTTTTGCCTGTTATTTTATTAAGGAACTAATTATTACCTGTACCTGAAGGTACATAATAATAAAAAAAAATGGTCAATAATAAATATATTTATATTTACACCTAAAATCAAATTACAAACATAGAGTAAAGAAAAGAATTTAAACACCAGTTGTAATGGGAGTGAACGGTGGTAGTGGAAAACGGTGATGGTTGTAGTGGGTGGTGACGACTGTGGTGATGGTGACAGTCATGGGTGGCAACGGTGATGTTGGTGGTAGATTTTTAGTGACTGAAGGTGGTAGAGACAGTCATGGGTCATGACAATAGTGGTTGTAGGTGACGGAGATGGTGGTTGGTAATGCTGATGATGGGGCAACGATGGTGGCGGTGGGTAGTGATGATGGAGGTGGTGGGCGACAACAGGTGTTTCTGGACGACACTGTGATGAGTTGTGGTAAATAGTGGTGGTGATGGTGGTAGAGATGGGTAACAGTGGGTGGCAACAGTGGTGGGTGATGATGATTGATGGTGGTTAGTGGTGGTATGTTTGATGGGGGTGGGTGACACTGACCGGCGACGATGGTGGACAATGATGGGTGATGGAGGGTTGTGATAGTGGGCGGCGATAGGTGGTTGTGAGCAACAATGGTAGTAGTGGTTGTTGATGGTGGGCGATAGTGATAATGATAATAAATATAAGAATGAGATGAAAATTGTGGTGGGTGGTGGCGATGGACTACGGTAATAGTAATCGATGATGGGTAGCAATGGTGGTGGGGCAACGGCGGCGACAAGGGTGGTGGTGGGGGTGGGATGACGACAATAGTGGTGACGACAACAGTGACCGCGACAGTAATGGTGGGGCGGTCGGTGTGGTGGTGGTGGTGCGATGGTAGTAGTGGTGGGGTGGCCGTAGTGGTGGTGGCGGGTGTGGCAGTAATGGTGTAGGCAACGACAACGGTGGAGGTGATAATTGTTGTGGAAAATGTGGTGATAGGGCGAAGGTGGCAGCAGTAGTGGTGATGGTGGTGGGGCGGAGGGGGTGGTAGTGGTGGAGTGATTCTAAATACTAATTTTTTTTTTTTAAAGTATTCATAAGTATTTATAAGTTCTAAAAGTACTTTTAAAAAGTCATCCCAAACACACTCTTAATTACCTATTTTTTTTATTAAATTTAAGGTGTTAATATTAGTCGTCGGATTAACTTTAAAATAAAATTTAAAGAGATCTCAACTGCGAAAAACAAAAATTATTTTATTTGTCTTTTGAAATTTGAATTGTATTGTACTTTATTAAATATATATCAGATTAGTTTGCTATGTTATAAGCACCTCCATATTCTAGTTGATTAGGATCATTGATTATGTTTAAAATTATAAACTCGCATTGAACTAGAGTTTACACAATTCAGATTAAAAATTAGGTTCATATTGGGTTGAGTTCTCGGGTTGCAAAGAAACTTCTGTCAAGGTACCAAATTTTTTGGGTTGAGTTAAGATTAACCCGATCAAATCACACTCTCGAACCCTACACATGAAACCAATAGTGACTAGAAAACATAATGTAATGGACTTACCCGACAACAGCAGCATCCGAAATGTTGGGATGAGTGAGAAGCAACGCTTCAAGTTCAGCAGGTGCAACTTGAAATCCTTTGTATTTTATTATCTCCTTCAACCTATCGACGATGAAGAGCTCATCATCGTCGTCGATAAAGCCGATATCACCAGTATGCAACCAACCTTCGCTGTCTATGGTTGCTGCTGTGGCCTCCGGATCATTGAGATAACCTAAACAATGTACAAAAGTTGGAGGGTCACTGGGGTCAGTTCCATACAAATTAAGGTGAAATCAATTCTTAAGGAATGTTTTCAACACTTGATTTAGTTGGATATGTTCATGCACCACATAGGGATCTACATTTCAACTTGATCATGAGACCGCGGCAGACAACCTTCTAATTTAACAGAAAAAAATAGCGCACTAAAGCAGAGAATCAAATGCAAGCCTTTAGGTTTTCTCAGAATAAGATAGATCAGAAGTAGTAACTTTCTTTGTCTGTACATGTAAAAAAAATACCCACTCCAACTCTTACCGACTCCTATTTTTGTCATGGTTTTAACGGTTCAGTGTGCTAGACTCTAGTCTGGTTCACCACCACTTGGGGGATTATAAGGAAGAAAGTAAAGCTTAAAATTTGTTATTCGAATTGCAGTTAATTAGAGAATTTGCTTCATCGAAGAGAGGAAAACAAACGATATACCAACGAATCTACAATATACTAGAGATAGATCGTTCAAGGGAGCAACTCGAGATAGATGCAAGATTTTTTCTCCTGCCGTTCTTATAAAGAAAAGTCTATTTTTCAGCACACACTAAATTCCTATAAGGGTGCTGACCTTGAAGGCCCGACTGTCTATTGGACTGTGACCATTCGGGTCCGTCAGGTGGATTTGTTGATGGCTTCTTAGCCCGACAGATAGGGATGTGGGCCATGTCTTTGTTTCACCTTGATCCATAGGGTTGACCCATTTAAGACCCATAAGGAGGTCCATCTGGTAGGCCCACGACCAGCTCCAAACGGGTCCATTATCAACTAAGTTAATGTACACGTTAATTCGTTATCATTGTTTTATATAATAATTAAAAATGTAGTTAACAGGTTGTATTACAGATCTAAAAGCAACAATTGGGTGTAATTAAAAATGTAGTTAACAGGTTGTACTACAGATCTAAATAGATTCTAATTGAATCATTGTATCTACATAGAAGTCATTTTTTTTATTTTCTTATCCTTTATTTTTTTAATGTTATGGGGGGTTGGTAAGTAATACTTTGTCATTGAATATTTTCTCAATTGTTGTTGGTGGAAGGGTCGTATGTACTTTAACCTTTTGCACGTTTCTCTCTATTTCTTTTCTTTCATTTTTCTTAGGCAATAAATAATAAGAGGAATTATACTTCGGTATCATCGCACTATTTTTCGATATAGTACCAAAAATTAGAGGACTCGCTTAGAAAACCACTCCAGTATCACCACTCTAGTGATCAGGTAGGTAACCGATAAAAGATGAGACAGTGACTATTTTTTGTATCAACAATTATAACTCATTTGATCCATGGGCACGGTACTGTAGCATGACCCTAACATGAGACAGTGGTCTCACAAGCAGTATGCTAGGTAAAAAAGGTGGTTGCCCTACTCAATCATGTTATAATGTATACATATATATTATTTGTATATATA